ATTTTCAAATAATAAAGCTATTTTTCTCAAAATTTTCATGTTTTAGTAGAATATTATAAAAAGTTTAAATGGAGAACAAATAGTTAAACCAACTGTTAAAAGATTTATGGCAAACAAAATCACGACTTTAACTCCAATGAAGTGTTATATCAAGCGTTCTTTGAGGTTTAGTATAAACATAAGGTTAATTGAATATTTTATATACGCACGTGCAATACCAAGAAGTTTTACTATTGGAGTCGGAGTCGTGATTTTGTTTAGCGACTCTGACTCTGCTAAATATGTTGCAACTTCGCAAGTCCGACTCCACAGCCCTCGCTCGGTGTGATGCCAATAAAAGTAAACTAAAACCTACTTGTTGTCAGCAGAAGCATGTTGCTCGTCTTACCAATTTTAAAGACAGAATTACTTCACAGAGCTTTTCTTTGGAATAAAATAGTTTTCAAACATTTTTATTTTTCTCTGAAATGGAGTTACTTCTTATTTAAAAAAAAAACTTAAAAAAATTATTTTGTCTCTGGATATTATGTTATATTTTTAAACGCTTAATAATTTCATGTAATATTTGATGTATTTATGCTGTCAAGTTTTTATAGAGATATACAACTAAATTTGATTAAGATTTATTGAGACTGTAAAATACAAGCATTTCAAGATGACAAGACCTGACAGTCTTCTGCGAGTCTTGGCGTTCTTTTTATAAAACTAAATACCTGTATAACTATATTATCTTTTACTTATTGCATGATTTAAATGCTAACGTTTTTTTTTTGTAAAACAACTTTATTAATGTTTAAAAAGATTTACTTAATGTTTAAAAAAAAGGAAAGGAAAGCATCAGTTAATCTTATATTCAGAATCTTCTAGCATTGGTTGTAGTTAAACAAAATTAGTGCTATAGACATAATAGTTATATCAGTTTCGTTGTTACTTTCACTTCATATTAGTTATGTGATTTGGATTGTTATTTTTATTACATAATAGTTATGTGATTTGCATTGTTATTTTCATTTGTATAATAGTTAATTAGATCATATAAGTAAGAACAAATAGTTTTGCAGCAACCAATGTAAAAGATCTTAGAAACATAGATCTTACAAAAGTTAGGATAATAGAATGGAGCCTAATTGTTCTAAAATACATTGTCTATATTGTCTGTATATGTTCTAAAATACATAGGATAATAGAATGGAGCCTATTGTTCTAAAATACATTGTCAATATTAAGCTAAAGCAGAGTCAACTATATTTACATAGCGTTTCTGTGTCTTGTCTAAAAAAAAAGTTAAAAGAAGTTCAAGTATGATAATAGAAAAAATTGTTATTCATACAAGGAAAAAATTTTATTTTTCTTCAATTTTTTTAAACAACTTTGCTTCCAAAAAGACTGCAAGCAACCACGATTGTTTTGGAAGTTACTTGAATCGAAAAGATGAAGTTTATAAAGCAAGATAATGATTGAAAGATGACTTAGACGATTGCAAAATATATATAAATCAGGAAAGCAAGATAAAGGTAGCGAATTACAAAGAACTGAAGTTCAAGGAAAAAAACTTGACAAATAAGAGTTTTTGAAGCACTTAAAAACAGTTACAGTATATAGATGAGACTTAATTAAATGATGAGCAACACAAGAATAAAATTTAGTAGATGGCACAAGAGACACAACCTCTTTAGAGTAGTGCCTATTATAAAATTTGTTAAAAAGAGAAAGAGAAGCAACATTTCAAAGATGTGATAATGGCTGGAGTTTAACTGCAAGAGTAAGTCCAATTATATTTATAATGCACTTTTGCACCTTGTCTAAAAGAGAAAGGACATTATTTCAAGATCTGCCACAGAAATGACAACAATGTAATGAATAGAATTCTGAGTAAAAAAGTGTTGAGCACAATAAAGAGATGCAAACTTAGCAGACACTAATTGGATTTAATATTTTGTTTCCAAGGAAAATTGGATGTAAGAGTTAACCCTCTTAGATAAAGGATAGATGACTCATCAAGTATAATGACTTATCATTGCGATAACAATTGGCTTGAAAAAATTGTGTTTATCTAAATGAAAGTTTATGCCCAATGAAAGTTCTGTTTCAGCCCCAAGTTGAAGCAAAATTAAAATTCTTTTTAAGTTCAAATGCCTCAGCTAAGCAATCGGAGATTGCTGGCTTCTTATTAAGACAAAAAAAAAAATTAGTATTATCAGCAAACAATGCTACCTTGGATGTAAAAATATCTGCTTAAAAGCTTACGGAGAAGTCCAGCATGCCCAACATTATCAAAAACTTTAGAAAAGCGATAACCTTAACCCTTATACATTTATCAGCACAATATTTAACGAGACTTTTTGTTTGCTTGAACAAAACTTTTTTTGGTTCATTAAGAACTTTTGTTTGTTTTTTAAAGATGTACTGTGTATTTTATCAAGACTTACTGTTAGTTTCATTAAGAACTTTTGTTTCTTTTTTCATGACATACTGTTTGTCCTATGAAAACATTTTGTTTCATCAATGGCTTCTGGTTGTTTTGTCAGGACTTTTTGTTTGTTTTATCAAGACTTTTTGTTTATTTCATCAAGACTTAGTGTTGTTTCATCAACAATAGAGCTTCTTTAAATATTGTCAGTAGAATTATTTATATATACAGAAAGAATGGGAGCCTTGTGGTACCCTTGTAACAAGGATAGAAGAATTAACTGAAAAAGAATATATAATTGTGATGTAACTACCTTAGATTTCATTTTAAACCATTTTGGAACAAGCCTTCCTTGCCATTCACTTCGAGGGAGTTTATGCAGAGGAACTGTTAAAATTTTTGAAAAATAAATGTATTACTTTAACTGTAACATATTTCGAATTATAAAAATTGAAAATTATAAAAATCAATAGAATCAAAACAATAGAAATTATGTGGTTATTGAAAAATGTTTTTATATTTAAATACCAAACCCCAGACAAACAACATAAAGGCAAAGAGGAAAATTTTAAACCATTTCTAACAACTATAAGATATTTTTATGTTTTATTTACTTTGAGCTATTTATGTTATTGTAACTAAAATACTAGCATAATGAAAAAACATAAAAAATGTTTCTTAACCAAGCAAATGAATTGATGACTATTACCTTACAGATCATAGAACATTGCAGCTAATCACTAAGGTTTTAAACTCAAGTTCTTGATAAAAATTTATAATAATAGTTATTGATGTTATCACTCCGCTTTTGATAGTTCTGACATAGTTTAATAATCTGTCAAATAGTAATCAAATGTGTTAAAGATTCTTATGTAAAATATAAATATGTTAAAGTATAAATATATATATATATATATATATATATATATATATATATATATATATATATATATATATATATATATATATATATATATATATATATATATATATATATATATATATATATATATATATATATATATATATATATATATATATATATATATATATATATATTATATATATATATATGTATATATGCAGTGGTTTTCATAAATTTAGACGCACTCATATTTGAGAATAGAAATTTTTAGTTTTTCAACGATAAAACAATGACGAAAAAAGATTTTGGTTTAGTTTTTTTTTCTATTTATTAGATAAGTACATACAGAATACAATTATTAAAAAAAGTTTACAAAAAAATGAAATACTAAGTAATAATTAGTTACAACTACATGGTATTAAAAAAATTAGACAAAAAAAATTATTCATAAATTTAGACGCACGATACATTAGAAGGCGTAATTTATGAACCAATCAATATTTTGTGTATCCACCTTTTGCTTTAATACAACTAAGAACTCTTCTAGGCATAGACTCAACAAAATTTTTGCACATCGCTTCTGGGACCCCATACCAGGTCTCCTTAAGGAATTCCTTCAGCTGAGTAAGTGTGGAAATTTGAACCTTTGCTAATTCATGGTCAATCCAAGCCCAAATGTTTTCAATCGGGTTTAAATCAGGTGAGTATAAAGGTCACGGTATTGTCATGATACTGTTATCGTTGAACCACTCCTTTGTATAGTATGCAGTATGTGCAGTAGCGCCATCTTGTTGAAGTTTCCATGGTTTATCATTGAGCATAAGCAGGTCAATTGATGGAATTAAGTTGTTTTCCAGTACTTCTACGTACATTCTGGAGTTGATTCTTCCAGTGTATGTTTGGCACATACCAACACCTTTGTAATTGAAGCATGACCAGATTCCTATCGAGCCTCCTCCACTTTGTACAGTCGGTCTAATGTACCTGGCGAAATACTTTTCATGAGCCATTCTTTTGACTGTTATGTTAGATTTGCGATTGATAAGCTCAAAGTTACTCTCATCACTCCACATAATGTTTTCCTATTGTTTTATTGTCCAATACCTACCAGCAAACACGTCAGCGTTGAATCAAAAATGAAAACCGGTCGCAAAAGATGTTGCGGAAACGTTGACAAAGTAATCGATTTTGCAAAGATATATAACGTTGTTTAAGAGACGTCGACTAAACGTTGTAGCGTAACGTTAAAAAAACGTTACTAAAAGACGTTACAAAAATGTCGCAACTAAACGTTGAAAAAGTGTTACTTAAAAAGCGTTGCAAAGGCATCGCAATTTAACGTTAAAAAAAAGTTACTTGAAAAGCGTTACTGTAACGTTGATAAAGCAGTCGATTTTGCAAGGATTTTTAACGTTGGCAGTAAAACGTCGATTTAACGTGACTCAAAGACGTCGAGTAAAGGTTGAAATATAACGTTGAATCAACGTTTAAATGCGCTGGAGAAAATATCGCAAAATGTTATTAAATGTAACTAAACTATGCTATGATGTATATTGAATTGTCAAATAAAACTAAATTGTATGTTGAGCTCTGTACTTGTAAAATATCTAAAATCGATTTTTAATACAAACAGTAATATGCAATGAATAATTTAAAAATATACAATTTATTTATATAAAATATGCAATTTATAGATATATAGATAAAAATATAAACATATTTTTAAAGATTTATGTGTGTGAGTGGATTACCAGGATATCGATTCGATAGGTCAGGATATCATTGAGATACAGAATCTAAATCAAAAAATAAAACTTGTACCATTAGCAGTCTGATAGCACATGTTTAAAACAATATTCTTGAATTAGAATGATCATTATTAAATTTAAAAAGTGAAAATAAATATATATATAAATAATTTATATATATATATATATATAATATATATATATATATATATATATATATATATATATATATATACGCACATCATCATCATCATAATCATGATCATCATATCATCATCATCATCTCTATTATCATCATCATCATCACCATTAGGCTTTAGCCTTATTCTTTTAAGCTGTTTTTCTAATATAAACAATCTAGTACACTTCTATTCCTAACTAAAGCTCATTTATACAATATGTAAGGTAAGCTCTTCGAATTTTCTTACTTCTATACATTTTATACTGAAGTTGCTACCACTTTACATGTTGATACTTAAATTACTTTAACTTTTTCTAAAAAAAAGATTATGCCTCCTTTTTATATCTTGTTAGAGTCACACCACACATCCATCTGATCATCTTCTCTTTTGGCAAATACTACACCATATAAATACTCAAGTTTATATAGCAATGAAAGGATATTGTATGCCAGCATCTAAACAAATAGCAAGCAGATGTGATTATATCCGATTATATCTTGGAGACTTATATTGCTTCTGGAATAAAAGTTTGGAAGCTTTTATTACTTCTCTTCAGTTTTAAGTCAAGCCACATTTTACTCTACATCTTTCAACATTAATCACTTTTTTCATCTTTTTTATAAGAACATCTCTCTTAAGAAAAAATTATCCTTTTTATTATTACAATAAGCAAATGTCTTGTCTGATGTAAATCTCTTATTCTCAATTTACTAAACCTTGTATCTTTTCTTAAATGTTAGGTTCTAGAGACTTTTGGTTAGTTTTCAACAGTGTAATTAACTCCAGTAGGCCTAACGTTTATTCTCTAAATCATGGGTCTGATCTTTTTACTTTACCCCAGAGTAAAGTAGAGCTATTTACAAAGAAATCTTGCTATCATTTTCTCTCAGGAAGAGTATGTCCATTATACATACTCTTCCTGACAGTTAAACAGAATAATCCATTGTAAAGCATCTTAATTGCTATGGCTTTCAATACTAAAATTAATTCTCAATTAAACACTTTTGTGCTTCAGACAAGATTTCCATCATAGTCTTAAAAAAGTGTACTTCAGAACTCTCAACAATTTTTGCTAAACTTTTAAAAAGTGCTAAATACATGGTTCAAATTTTTCAAAACTCTAGAAAACACCTTGACCTCTCCAAATATCCTACAATTTTTCTTCACTCTGTTATCAGTTTCTTATAATTTTCTATGTAAAAGTTTTGAGGTTATTAAATTGTTTCATTCTAACTGCAGTAGTAAAGTTATTCTTGAAGGCCTACCCTCTTCTTTATTTCAAGTAACTTTAAGAGAACCACAAGGTTCTATATTTGCTCCTATAATATTTTTTATCTACAATAACAATCATAATGAAATCTAAAGTGACTAAATTTGTTCATGAATCCACTTTACACTCTTGTCTTGACAAAAAATCATCTTTAATTGCTTAGAACAAGCAGCCAATTTTAAATCTGACCTCTCCTCTGTAACAGCCTAAGGCTTGCTGTGGCTTATGGATTTAAATTCTGGACTTAAAATCCACAATTTTTGTTAGACAACAAAACTCATTTATCAACTGCATTAAAATATTACAATATTGTTGGCATTCCTATATTGACAAATAACAACCCTCTTACTCTCAGACAAAGTCTAAAATCACATTGTAAATGTAATAAGATCAGCTTTATCTGCCAAGGTTGAGCCACTCTCCCATTGTTATAAGGTTGCATTTCTTTCTTTTTTCTACAAATACAATCTAGTCAATGCTCAAACAAACTCTCATCTCTATAACGATAAACCAAAACTCATTCTCAATTGGCCATTTATTCAACAAGTTGCATCCTTTAACTGCATTTGTTCTTCCTTCATGCTATAAAATCTTTTTACAGCATGATAAATAATTCAATTTTTTTGCTTGAACATCAAAAAAATTTTATAACTGTTACAAAACTTCATATTTTCCTTTTTTATAAAACTTACACCTTTTATGTTTTTAGTTATAGGTTTCCTAGTATTTTATTTGGTTCTTTATTTGAAAGTAACTCATTACTTAATAGTGGTTGCTTGCAATCTTGTTGGAAGTAAATTAGATTTTAAAATATATAAATATATGCCAGTATTTATTAAATAGTAAATGCAAGCATAAAATTATAATATATTAAGCATTATAAATTTTTAAATGCTAAATCTTATAATTTTGGCAGGGCCGGGTTTGCAAAAAGTCTAATTTTTAGCTAGGGCCAAGACCCTGGTCACTTACTAATGTTTTGTAAAATTTATTTACATTTTCAAAAGATTATTTTATAATTAAAAAACTCTGAAAAAATGTCTGCCAAACATCTGGAGGTCTCTCCAGATATTTGGCAACTAGAATAAATGAGCACCTTAAAAGTGATAAACAATCTCATATATTTAAACACTTAAATTTATCTATTAATTTCAGAAATCTGGCTAACTACGATTCTTTTGAGATTTTGGATAATGCCCCAACAAAACACAAATTAAAAATAAAAGAAATCCTCCACATTATGCTATAAACTTAACTATTTAATTTTACATTCAGTTTATTATTATTTATATATTTTTCTTTTTTTTGAGTTAGTTATTTTGTAAAAAATATTTTGGTTTATAATTTAAATTTTTGTTTGTTTTTATTTTTCTGTAAAGACTTCTATTTTAATTTATTTCAGAGTTTTATTATTGTAAAATAATCTTTTAAAAATGTAAATAAATTTTATGAAACATGTCGAGAATAAATTTATATTTATATAACCTGCAGTTATTGGAAACATTGTTTTTCTCACCTTGAGGATTAACAAAACACATTTAAAAAATAAAAAAAAAGAAAAATGGACAATTTTTTCAATAAATTGTAAAATATTTACAAATCGTCTTACAAAGAAAAAATTAAAGAAGCATCTCATTCCAAAGGTCTTTTTTTTTACTTTCTACTATTATTAAAATTTGAAAGTAACTTGAAATAGGTCACTTTAAAGATCATTTTCAGTTATTCAAACTAAATTCTTTTACCCTTTGGAGGTTCGAATAACTGGGAGTTTACTCTATATGTGTGTGTGTGTATATATATATATATATATATATATATATATATATATATATATATATATATATATATATATATATATATATATATATATATATATATATATATATATATATATATATATATATACATATATACATATATATATACAGTATGCAAAAAAAATAATCGTACACTTGAAAAAAAATCGTAATTTTAAAGATTGCATCAGAAAAATTAAAATATTTGAAAAGTTTTTTTAGATATCTTATCAAGTTTTGTTTTAAGGATTTATTTGTGTATTGGCGAGTTAATTGCTTTTCATACTTATTGAATTTTACACAATTGATCTAATGATGCATATAATTGACTGCAAAAAAAATAATCGTACGCTGACAAAATATGTTGTTATTTTAGCATAAATTGAGCAAATTGAACAATTAAACTAGTTAGTAAAATTAAAAATAGTAATTTTTTAAATACACTTTTGTTCTAGAAATAAAATATAGTGTTTCAGCAAAATGGCATCAAGAAAACAACATTTGTCTTTCCATCAACGAAGTCTCGTAGTTGATTTAAAAAATCAAGGAAAATCCTACCGTCAGATCCAAAAAGAAACAGGAATTCCTTTTACGACAGTGTCCTCAATTGTTAAGAAGCATAATCTGATTAAAACTGTTGCTAGTGTGGCTGGCAGAGGGTGAAAACGCAAGACCACTAGTGCAATTGATCGCAATATCATCATTAATGTGAAGAAAAATAGATTTGTTTCTGCAGCTAAATTAGCTTTAAAAGTTCAAGAAGATCACAATATCACAGTAACCCCTCAAACAATTAGAAATTGTATTAGAGAACAAGGATATAGAGGTAGACTAGTTTGAAAAAAACTTTTTTTAACTTCAAAACAAATGAAACATCGATTAGAATTTGCAAAGAAGTACGAAAAAATGCCGATATCTTATTGAAAAAATATTTTGTGGTCGGATGAGTCCAAATACAACCTTGTCTCATCGGATGGTAGTGTAAAGCATGGCGGAGGAAATGTGATGGTTTGGGGTAGTATGAATTGGAAAGGGGTACGGAACTCGACAACTATTGATTAAAAAATGGATGCTTCATTGTATTGTGAAATTCTTAAAGCCAACTTGCGACCATCTACTACAAAATTGAGAATAGGAAAGGATTTTATACTGCAGCAGGATAACAATTCAAAACATACTGCTAAGAAAACAAAGGTATACTTTGACACAAATAACATCAATGTTATGGAATGGTCATCTCAAAGTCCCGACTTGAATCCTATAGAAAATTTGTGGAATATTTTGGACAGAAAAATTGGTGACCGAGCATTTAGATAAAAAGACAACTTAAAAGAAGCTATAATGAGCTCATGGGATAATATAACAACAAAAGAAACCCAAAATTTGGTCAACTCAATGCCAAATCGTCTAGCTGAGACCATCAAGGCCAAAGGATGCCCCACTCGATACTAAATTTTATGAAGTTTGATCAATTTGACATTATTTTTGAACTGTGCGATTTTTTTTTTTTTGCAGTCAATTATATGCATCATTAGATCAATTGTGTAAAATTTAATAGGTATGAAAAGCAACTCACCAATACACAAATAAATTCTTAAAATAAAACTTGCTAAGATATCTAAAAAAAATTTTCAAATATTCTAATCTAATAATGCAATCTTTAAAATTACAATTTTTTTTCAAGTGTACAATTATTTTTTTTATATACTCTATATATATATATATATATATATATATATATATATATATATATATATATATATATATTAATATTTTACAACTAAAAATAGTCATATATTTACATTATACATTAATAACCTAAACAAAATATATATTAATAACCTAAACAAAACTTACTTCAATAGGTGTAACTATAAATTATAAATTTAAATCATAATATAAACTTTGTTCATAAGATCGAAACCAGTTAAAACCATATTATTCCTCGATCCTTATCCACCAAAACTTCACTAAATAAAATTACACTGGTAGTCAAACTACCACAAGTCAAATAATTTAGACAGTAATATTAAAATTAGCTTTGACCAATAGTTAATATTAGGTGTTATTTTATTCTTTACCATAAAAAAAACAAAGAAAAGTTAAATCAAAAGAGAAACTAAAAGTATTCACAAACATAATTACTTACATTCTTTGGAGTACTCTGTAGTTGGGATATTAAATTCTTCGCATACTTCTTTATCTATTAGTAATTATTTAGTAAAATAAATATAAACAAAAATATGTAAAAACTAAAATGTATAATAAGTGTAAAAAGATTACAATATATATCTAGGCAATAATAATACCATAAACAGATTTAAAATATTACTTATTGGAAAAAAAAAAATAGTTTTTTTTGGTATGGTACTTCAACGTAAATATAAAACTCTAATAGTTTTTTAATCATATAAAACAGTTAAATTAGCAATGAGTATTGTAAAATTTAATGACCTCCAGTTACTTTAACTCTTTTAAGTCTGAGCTTGTTGCAGAAATCATCGATTGGAAAATGATTATAGGCAGTTTTCATTATATATATATATATATATATATATATATATATATATATATATATATATATATAATATATATATATATATATATATATATATATATATATATATATATATATATATATATATATATATATATATATATTTATATATATATATATATATTATATATATATATATAATATATGTATATATATATATATATATATGTATATATGTATATATATATATATATATATATATATATATATATATATATATATATATATATATATATATATATATTATATATATATATATATATATATATATATATATATATATATATATATATATATATATATATATATATATATATATATATATATATATGTATATATATATATATATATGTATATATGTATATATATATATATATATATATATATATATATATATATATATATATATATATATATATATATATATATATATATATATATACTAAAATAGGTTAAATAAAAAATGCAACTTTATAACAGAACTTAAAGTTTCAAGACTTATTTAAATCTTATTAAAACTAAGTATTATTTCTAACATATTTAAAAAAGTTGAACATTTTATTACTTAAAATTAAAATGGTCAACTTAAAATAAATATAAAACCGATAAAAATAACCTGAATAAATCGAATTTACCCTGAGATATTTGTATATTGTATACAATTTGATATAATATCTAAGTTTTAAATTATTCTCAATAAAAATAGGTTATAAAATATAACTTTATTAAAATATTTTCAAACCATATGCTATAAAGTTTTCCTTGCCTTTCTATTACGGCAAATTATTTTTCTAATGGCTAGTTATTGAGACAATAATTTTTCAATGTGCCGCTTCCTCAACGTTGTCAAAGTAATGTTTTATTAACGTTGGCAAAGTAACACTTTTTCAACGTTTTTTAATTACTACACTTTCAACGTTGGTATATGTAACGTTGAATGAGCGTTGTTTTATAAATAACTTAAATACGTTAAAAAAGCAGCTGATGTCTAACGTTGATAAACCATAAAGTTTGCGACGTTTTTAAAGTGATTATTTGCCGACTTTTATTCAACGTTGAATTAACGCGATTTTTTGAGAAGATAAGATACGTTTAAATTTATACGCTTATTCAACGTTGAATATGTAACGTTTAAAAAGCGGTTTGTTTTTAACGTTGATAAAGCATATGCTTTAAAACGTTTTTAAAGTGGCTTTTTGCGTAAGTTGATTCCACGTTGAATAAACGTTATATTTTGAGAAGCTAAATTACGTTACAATTTCAACGTTTATTCAACGTTTCAATTTACCGCGATTTAGTATACAAAAAAAGACATTGATTCAACGTTGAAAGCACGTTGTTTTTGTGACTGTAACGCTTTTTCTACGCTGCGACTGGTTTTCAACGTTGATTCAACGGTGAAATGTTTGCTGGGTATGGAACTTTGTATAAATTTTATTATTAGGTTTTAAGGATAAAAAATATTTTGTTATTTTAATTCGAAACTTTTTTAATAACGTTATTAAATCGTTTTGCACATTTCACTAAACAAAACTATGCGCAAATTAACAATGAAGTTTTATTACTAAGCTATTGTTAGCCGAACGCGATGGTTGCATTTTTCTTAAGCAATCCTTTATAAGAAATAATGTTACTTAAATGGTCATAAGTTTTTTTGTAATTATTCTTTTTTTCATAAAATTTTCACCATTGAATTCAAAATTCTTTCGATCCATATATAATTCTTATATAAATAAATAGCTTGAAATTTTTACACACCTACTCTACAGTTATACAATTATAGTGTTGTTTAATTTTTGTGAATTGCTACCTATAACACTTGTAATTCAATAGAATATAGTAGTTTATTATTTAATGTAGTAATTTACTTGTTTTAATGTGATTAAATTTACTTGTTATAGAAAAGATTGTTATATATACTTTAATTTTGATATTTTATATCATAATTTTTTAGTTTTATTTTAAATTTTTATTATAACTTTATAATATTTTATGTCTCTGTGGCTAATTCTGCCCTATCTCTTAATCCAATTGTATCCCCAAGATTCTTATAAAAAATGCAAACTATACAAACTATAGAGTTTGTTATTATTCTCTTCCTACACACTCTACATGACCGCTTTCTAAACTTTTCTGCTTGCTTATTCTTATCTTTACAATGTAAACTTTTTTGCATTATTCATGTTTATCTTAAACCCTTTTACCTTTATATCGAGCTTTACTTCAAAACTATAACTCAATCTTTTGTTTTTATTGATTTCATATTTATACTTTGCTGCTCAACTCAAGTTGTATTATTAGCATTTCATTATTTTATTTCATGAGAACAAGATTTTTAACTATAATATAATTGCAGTTTGACTTTTATACTATATATATAGTATAGTATAAAAGTCAAATGACAATCAAATTAAAAATTTTATATAACTATTAAAAAAAGAAGCATATCATAGATTTAGCATTCTTAATTTACAAAAAAAAAAAAAGTATAAGAAATGTTGACAAGTAAAATATTTCTATTAAAATGGACGCATAAAAAGGCATTCTATAAGATATCTCAACTTTTTGTATTTATACTATAACTTCTCCTTTTTTTTTTTTTTACTTTCTAAATATGGTTGTTTTTTGGTTCATACAGTAATTGTACTCACACTATTCAGGTTGTCAATACTATATGAGGTTAGTCTTTTTGAAGACATTACAATGATTTTTAGCTAACTATATTATGCAGCAGTTAAACTTAATGAGCTGACAATTTTCTTATTATATTGAGTTTTGCATACAACTTAATTTGCTTTGTCTTTAGTGTTGCTGTAAAAAAAAAAATTTCATTTAGATTCAGTTCATTGTTTAACTTTTTGAACCTGCTGCAACCAAAGTCAGAAAAAAAAACAGTATTTTTTTTATACTCATGAAGTTCATTTTGTTTTTTAAAAAAGTATATAAAAAGGTTTAGGTTAAGGTTGTATGGTAAACTAAATGCTTTTAGGTAACCTACCCTTACCTGTGTACAGCCTTCTACTTCGATTTTAATAAAAGTGATTATTTTGACAAAAAAAAAATAGATGAAATTATTATTATCATTAAATATAAGAAAAGTAGAAAAGTAGAAATCTTTTTTCTGATTAATTTATCAATAATATACATTTTAATTATAGGTATTTACAAGTAACAAAAAAAATTAAGCATTATATATAAAAATAATTCATCCAGTTTGCAATTTTTACTATTGAAAATAAAAAATAACAATAAATGGTCATCATATGTGATAGAGGATTGCTGCACCAACTTTCATGTAGAACATTTAGGTTAAGAGCGTGTTCTTTGGTAGAAATAAGATGAAGGTTTGTATTTTTTTATTAACAATCATGTATTTAAACAGAGTAGACCTCTGTGACAATGACCTATTTGTATCCCTAAAAAAAAGAACCTCATTCATTTATCTTTTTTTTCATTTTAACATATCATTATCTAATTCAATAAAGTTTCATTTTAACATATCTTTATCTGATTCAATAAATTCAATAAATGGGTCGCCTTGTAACTTTAATCAAACTAAAATAGAACTCCTCTTGTACACCTGATGTAAAGTTTGCTGCTCTTCCGTTGTTATCCATTTGTTTTTGTAGCTGGTTTTAACAAAATTTCATAGTTTCAACTTTTTCGACAAATAAATTTCCAAAATTACTTTTAAACTACCGGAACCTTCATTTTTTAGATGGTTTAAATAATTAAGTTTACATCCACTGTTGAAATTGAATGGGTTTTTTCCGAAGCCTGTTGCAATAAGTGGTACCGACGCTAAAGTTTAATGACAATTGTATTTACTTTATCAACTTCAACAACTTAATTAGAAAGTTAATACTCATCATATTATATCATCAACCAAACTCATAATACTTTCCTCTTTTTTGAAGAACTGAGGCTAACTTTTGTCAAAATACTCTAGCAAGAATGATACAATCATTCAACCTCTTTGAGGTATACTTTGTAACTGCTTCTAGAATTTTAATTAACTAGCTATTATTGAAATTCTTCAGCTATTACTATACAAAATACCAAATGATCGCCTTTTCTCTATATTTTGTTCATTAGTGATTCAATTATAACTTTGAGATGAATTAGAAATTTAGTATGAAAATTTCAGGATTAAGTTTTTTTTTATAAAATCTGTGGGTGGTTTGGATTTGAAGAAAATCTCTAGTGGAACACTGTAAAACTGTTAAAAAATAATGATTTTATATGGAGTAACCTTTAAAGTATTTAAACATCAAAAAAATTTACAAATAAAGTACAATCTTTCTAATTTGAATCTCCTTTATTCAGAAAACTCTATAATTCAATTAAATGCCCTTATCTAAAAAATCTTTCTCTAATTTAAAAATCTTTATAATTCAAACTTTCAACTTTTCCCATAAGATTCAAGTTAGAGAGATTGTACTGTATAATATTTCAATTTTATGATTTTAAAAATTGTTTAAGTAAACGGGTTGTTGTTTAACTAAAACAACAATAATTACTTCTAATAAGAATAAGTAGCAAGCACTCCACATGAAAAATATAAAATGAATATGAATCAAACCATTTTCTTTTGTCAATGTAATTGCTTCTGTTGATTGGTTTAACTCGCATTCCTTTTTATTCATGGCTGAATTTTTTACTATCAACTAAGTATAACAAAGGAAACATGAATGAGA